AATCGTCATTCAAAAGCCCAATTAATAGTGCATTAAATGCTGTCCCGAGTGTCAAATTTTCATAAATAAATTTTTTGTTCAAACAAATAAACATAACATGTTTGACTAATTTTGATGTTCCGAACTAATATTAGAAATTTCTGTATTACAAATTCTTATTCGAATTATTCGTATTATTATTATTATTATTATTATCGAATTATTCGAATTATTCGAATTATTCGCTTATTCGCTTATTCGTTTATTCGAACTCGAAATTATTCGTTTTATTCATTTATTCTAAATGTAATTCGAATATTCAAATTCATAATAATAATAATAATAATAATAATAATAAAATAATTCAAAATGATTGAGTCATGTGTTTCTATAATATCATGACACCAGAATATCATTGCTATTTTTAGATTTGAAAAATTGGCACTCGGCTATATAGTACTAATAAACCTGCATAATACATATGATAAATAAAATATGAAATAATTGTTAAGCATATGAATGAAAAAATATGTCTTTAAATATTTATTAATTCCTGCTACCTCTGTTCCATGCGGGAAATTTCGTGGTTGTTTGTAAAAGGAAATGGTTTATATTGTAAAGTTCGGCATTCATGTGACTTTCAATCCATATATTAATATAAACTGATCTGTTTAGCACTCGTATGGCCCGTAAGTTTTGACGGATGACCCCACCTCTAGTTGTTGATAATTTTAAGCTCATTTATTGATTTCAAAGGAAAATTATCAGTTTTATATAAAATGACTTTTTTAAAAACCAAAGAATATTGTAATAGTATGCCATATAAAATTTCACGAATGAAAAAATACTTTTATAAACATTCACAAACATAATTTAAGAATATAATGATCAAAGGATATTATTTTTTTTAAAAAAAAAATGTAAACGCAATAAAAACTATAGTGCGCGAATCAACAAAACCTAGATTTTCACAAACTGTGTTTTTATGTGTAATTAATAAAAGATAATAAAAATAAAACTATTTTAAGACAATCGAATTTAATGGAGGGGTTTTTTTATTGCTCAAGTAATAAAAATCAAAATTTACATGAATATTCACCAAAATCTAAGCTACATACAGTATAAGTTTAATGTGCTATTGTTATGTATGTTTTTGCGTAATCAATAAAAATAGTTTCTCTATCGGCGGTAATCAACCAATTAATTTGAACTTCGAACAAAGGATAAAACTACCAACCTCACTCATTTTTCTGAAGGACAACTAAAAGTTTAGTGGTAAACTAATCTAATAAAAACTAAACAGAGAAAGGTAAATATAACAAACCCGATTTCGCCAAAAAACATCGACAAACTTTATAGCTTTTGAGTGCTGACAACTCATCACTACTTAAAGCAAGCCTTGTTGTATGTAATTGTAGTAATTGTTTTTGAAGAAAGAAAAAATATAAATGCTATTGAAATGTCTAAATGATTAAATGATATTAAAATATGCTCTTTTCAGATTAATAACAACCACGGTTCAATTATTTAAACAATCCAAATAAAATTAATATAGTAATAAAACAATATATTATTGTTTTTTTAAAGTTGAAGCAAAAAAAAAAATTAAATCACAAATTTTATTATTATATTTACAAAAAATTGTTACATAGCAATTCCGAGAATAATAAAAAGAAATGAAAGCGTATACACGATTAATAAAAAAGCTTTCCCAACCATATAGCAGCCCAGAATATCATAAATACTGCTTGATGAAGAATATTAATTCAATATAAGGAACAAAGAGTTCATTAGTGGTGTATCTTTCAAATAGTCAATATTATTTAAATCATATTTAATGTACTGTATGTTTATAGATTTCGTCAATCTTTAAACATTTGGCCATATTTAGACATTTTGACATCAATTTAGACATTCAACATCAATTGGACTTTCGACAAATATTTAGAATTTCAACATGTTTTGGCATTACGGCAAATCAAGTGACCTTTATGTATATATTTTGACAATTGAAATGCCTAATACTAAATGTTTATCAAAGATATATATATACGTTGGTGCAACTTAGTTTTTTGAGGCCTATGCAAATAGACAGTATTTGAAACAAAAATTTCATAATATTAGACTCTATTAAAACGATATCTTGTTTCTTATTATTATATTAATTAGAATGATGGATCATGAATTTATAATCGTCACTGCCACTGCTGTTATACGATTTTTTATTTATTTATTGTGTCGTAATTAATTTTAACTTCTTTCAACGAATCATTCGACCTTATTATTTAGATTCCTGTAAATAGATAATATGAAGTAATGAAGTTGACAACTAAAAAATCATATTTTATTTGTTGTATGTATATAAAATGGAACCATTTGTACATTTGTAAAAAACTACTGCAAAACTCCGGAACTATAGAGTGCATCACTTATGCGAATAATTCTACGTATAATTTCCAAATATGGCTAGAACCATACCCTAAACAATAATAGGCTCTTTTAAAAGTCAATGCCGAGACTTACTATATAAAACTATCGCTCAGGGTCATAGTGTAGCACGGACTTTTTAAAGGAAAAAATGTATCGCATGAATTTTTTTAAATTAAATATTAAGGGGGATCCCAAATAAAAATGCTTATTCGGCTAATGACTATTTTTATTTGTGTTGTACGATAAATGACATGACGAAATGATGATCCTTCCTTTCGGTTTTTAACTTTAATTAAAAATAACAATATAAAAAAAAGCTTATTATGTTTCATCATCAAAATATGTATTTATATATATATATAGCAAGAAAGCCAACAAGTAAAATAACTTTTATTAATATTAATAATAACCAAGACTTATTCGTTTTTTTTTTCAAAAAATTAAAAAAAACAAAAAAAACAAACAACTAAAATTCATTAAAAGATAAATTTTTTTTGAAACAATGTCTATTAAAATTAAAAATAAGAATGATTACCTTGCAACATTTAAAATCCTTCTTATTGGTAACTCAAACGTAGGAAAATCATCTCTTCTATTAAGGTTTACTGATGACACATTTTTACCACATGATGAGGTATCAGCAACAATAGGTAATTATAAAACAAATCTAGGTTTATCTTAAATAAACGATTATTGATTAAAATGATTATATAATAGGGGTGGATTTTAAAGTGCATGAAATAGTTGTAGACGAAAAGAAATATAAATTAACAATTTGGGTATTTGTTTGATTAAAATATTTTCAAGTAAAATTTGATTGTTTTTGTTAAAATTTTATTTCTCTATATTTAAATAACAATTATAATTATAATTATTGTGAATATTAATATTAGGATACTGCAGGTCAAGAACGTTTTAGAACACTAACATCTTCATATTATCGTGGTGCTCAAGGTGTTATATTGGGTATGTGGTAGATATAACACACACACACACACACACACACACATACATGTATGCTATATTTGTGTGTATGACTTATTTAATGAGATTTATAAATCATTAATATTTTCTTTTTTCTAGTTTATGATGTATCAATTCGTGAGACATTTGATCAATTGGATAATTGGCTTAATGAATTAAATACCTATTGCTCAAATAAAAATATAGCAAAAATGATAATTGGTAATAAGATAGATAAGGTAACAATAGATAGAATAAATTAAATTATTAATCATTGATTTTGATAATTTGTGATGATTTATTCCATTTTAATATTTTTATCCATTTTGAATTTTGAATTATGATTTATGATTTAGGAAGCTGGAAGGGCAATTTCACGTAAAGAAGGTGAAGAATATGCAAAAAAATTACAAACATCATATATAGAATGTAGTGCTAAAACAAAATATGGCGTGAAAGAAGCATTTGCTGAACTTGTTAAGGAGGTAATTATAATTATTATAGATTATATTGAATATTTAGATTTTTTTAATAATTAATCATACTATCATACTAATAATGAATTAAATACCTATTGCTCAAATAAAAATATAGCAAAAATGATAATTGGTAATAAGATAGATAAGGTAACAATAGATAGAATAAATTAAATTATTAATCATTGATTTTGATAATTTGTGATGATTTATTCCATTTTAATATTTTTATCCATTTTGAATTTTGAATTATGATTTATGATTTAGGAAGCTGGAAGGGCAATTTCACGTAAAGAAGGTGAAGAATATGCAAAAAAATTACAAACATCATATATAGAATGTAGTGCTAAAACAAAATATGGCGTGAAAGAAGCATTTGCTGAACTTGTTAAGGAGGTAATTATAATTATTATAGATTATATTGAATATTTAGATTTTTTTAATAATTAATCATACTATCATACTAATAATGATCCTTTAGATTGTTGAAGATCCAAATTTATGGCAAAAAAAAATTGGCCCAACAAATAATAATATATCTTTATATCAGGACAAACAAAAATTAAATAATAATAATAATAATAATAATGGATATTGTTTATGCTAAAATTGTTTGATTTTTTTAAAAAGAAAAAAATATTTTATATATAATTATTAATATTACTATTTCCTACTTTTATTTATATTATTAATTTAATGTAATTTTATCATTATCATTATCATCATCAACAATCACACACTCATAATCATATATTCTTACCCACTTTTTTATAAAGGTAGGAGAGATCATAGCATTATATAGACAATATTCATCATGTTCTTCTCACTTGTTATATAATATATAAATGACTTTAATTTTTCAATCTGTATTTATTTATTTAATAATTATTATTGAATTATATAATACAAATATCATTATCAGATTCAATACATTTCATTATAATTTTTTTTGCTTTTTCATTTTCTCTAATACCAATATAACCTCTTTAATTAAAGATGCATATTTGGCTTTACATTATATGATTTCGCCCAACTTAGCAAAATCCTCTATTGATTATAGTATTGGTTTGATTTTTTGCATATCACCAATTTTAATGAAAATATTGATATGAACATGATCGAATGAGTAAACATCAATTTTTGAATTAATATCTATATGCTAATTGTCATTGCCATTGTTATTATTCTTATGAAGTTTTTATATAATTCGTATACAATTTCTACATTCTTAACTAAATCTAACCAATATATTCCATCTTTAATTTTCTGAAGAGTTCTTGGAAAAATAATATTATTATTGATATGCTTTAACACTTTATAAGTTGCTTTTTCAGGTTTAATTCCTTCTTTAATCATCTGATCCCAAACTTACCCAGCTTTTTATTTTTAATTAGACTTGTATAAGTTTAACATTTAATTTAATGTTATATTTATTTGTCATTATATTAAAACATTTTTCTAATTCGTCAAACATACCAGATGCTTCAATTAATATTGTAAATTTTACAACATTTGACAAAATATTATATTTCAACATTGTTTCATATACATTTATTGCTATGGGCATACCTTCATATTGAATATATGTGCACTTGGTATAGGGTTGACTATTTTATTATTATCATTGATGTTATTTTTTAGTTTAACTTTTACCACTGTAACTTCTGTTTTTGTTGATTGATTTCTATTTTCTTAAAAAATCCAGATATATTTTATATGACAAATTGAAATCTTTGGGTTGCTTTAATTCAAATCACCATAACTTTTAAGTGGTAAATTTATTTATTTTGAAAAAATTATACAACTTAGGACATTGTGCTATGAGCTAGAAAAAAATCATAAAAAGAAA